ATACGCATTGACTTGTTGGTAAGCGTCGCTACCTATATCAGTAGGAGTCGAGCAAAAGAGCACAAGCAAGGGTATGTTTAGACAGGATCATTATCATATTTATTTCAGTATTTTGTAAGGGATATTCCAGGGGTATACAAAACTCAAGCATTAGTTTCAATTTGCTATTTATTCTGAATCAGTCGTCATGGGGTGCCGTGGCTGTCCAAATTTGGTCAGACACATTTCGACAAAATAGCCAGACGCTCAGATCTGAATCCAACCCCTTCTATCCTGGTATCCGTCTTCCACCACCTGACGTCCACAAATATGGCCGCGCGCACGACCCCAGAGCAATTGAGTGCGCTGCAGCACACGCCCGAGCGCATTCGCAACATATGTATTCTTGCGCACGTGGACCATGGAAAGACGACGCTCAGCGACAGTCTCGTTTCTGCCAATGGCATTATCTCAGAGCGCGTTGCAGGCAAGGTAATTGAGCGAACATACCCATTCTTTATGTACGCGTCACTTATGCATTCACCATAACGTGCGTGTACGAAATACTAAAACCATGTAGGTGCGGTACTTGGACAATACGGAAGAGGAGCAAATTCGTGGCATCACTATGAAATCTAGCGCCATTTCGTTGGTCTACCAGCCGGAAGCCACGACTGACAGTAAACAGCCCGAAGCGCCGTATCTTATCAACCTCGTGGACTCGCCAGGCCATGTAGACTTTTCCTTCGATGTGTCCACTGCAGTAAGACTCTGTGACGGAGCGTTGATACTCATTGACGCTGTGGAAGGAGTCTGTGCTCAGACCCACGCCGTGCTTCGCCAAGCGTGGAAAGAAGGCATTCGTCCCTGTCTTGTGATCAATAAGATGGACCGTCTAATTTTTGAATTGCAGTTTTCACCGATGGAGGCCTACCAGAGGCTGAATCGTATCTTGGAACAGGCCAATGCCGTGCTGAGCTCTATGATCCGGATGGACGTGCTTGAGGATGATGACGAAAACACTGGAGTTCAGCAGGATAAGGCTGTCAGTGTTGACGATGTCGGGTGGACACAGAATGAAGAAGCTCTGATAAAAGAGATGGAGCAGCGAGAAAATGAAGTGCTATTTTCGCCGTCGAACGGGAATGTGATCTTTGCCAGTGCCATAGACGGATGGGCCTTTGGAATTGGATACTTTGCTGTTCTATACGCGAAGAAACTAGGACTGCCCGTGCATAAAGTTCGTCATGCGCTGTGGGGGGATTTTTACTACAATGGCAAGACGAAAAAAATTGTAGCCGACCCGCCAACCTCAAACAGTCAGCCAATGTTTTGCTCATTTATTCTTGACTTGATTTGGACAATATACACAGCAATGGCAAGGCCTGTTCAGTCAGATACAGACTTCGACTCACTCCGCACGCTGACGCGACAGCTTCGGGTTGCAAAGCTGGTAACTGATCGCGATCTAAAGCACACAGATCGCAAACTTGCAACGCAAGCCATTATGCGCAAGTGGCTGCCGCTGTCGACAACGGTGCTGAAGATGGTATCTCGATTTTTGCCGAGTCCGGTCACTGCGCAGGTCAAGAGAGCCCACAAGCTGTGCGCTTTCCCTCACGAACGTCTTGAACAATCATGCCAGTATGCGCGGGTGTTCCATTCATTGAAGTCGTGTGAAGCTTCGATCAATGCGCCGCTGGTAGTATACATCTGCAAGGTAGTATCTGTAGAGGCAAATGTACTATCGGATTACCGCCAGGCTGGATTGGCTCCCAATGATGAAGTGTATGTTGGTGTTGGCCGCGTATACTCTGGCATTCTACAAGAAGGCCAACCATTATATGTGATGGACCCAAAGTTCCAGGGCGTGAGAGACGATGTTGACACCGACGCAGTCGACCTTGAAACCGTAAATCACGTAGCGCAGATTGATGGCGGTGTGATCAAACCTTACATCATGATGGGCCGAGAATTGCACAAGCTTAATTGTGTGCCTGCCGGAAACATCGTTGGTATAGTAGGTCTGCAAGAACATGTGCTTAAGACGGCTACACTGTCTTCAACATTAGCTTGCCCTTCGCTAACGAAAATGCCATACCAGGCAAAGCCGATTGTACGTGTGGCGATTGAGCCGGAGGATCCGCGTGACTTTGGCGCTTTGGAGGCTGGTTTGCAACGGCTGTATCGATCTGATCCTACCGTTGAGGTTCACGTTCAGGAGACTGGAGAACATGTTGTCGTGGCGCTTGGAGAACTTCACCTCGAACGATGCATCAAGGACTTGAAAGAACGGTTTGCTAAGGTTGCGATTCAAGTTTCGGAGCCAATAGTTGGATTTCGAGAAACTGTCGTGGACGGGACAGTTTCGTCATTCCAGGAGAAGATCGTGTTTAAAGCACTTATGAACCCAGAGACGGTTCGCGACGCATCGCATGACCGAGAAGAAGTCGCAAGCATTTGTGAGTCTCAAGATTCGAAAGCTGCACTGGGAACAACCCCAGACGGTACGTTAACACTTAAGATACGAGCACATCCGTTGCCTGTCGAAACAGCAAAGCTTTTGGAAGAAAACGCGCCGCTCGTCAAGCGCATTGAGCTTTGCGAGAAAGCTGCTCATGAATTGAATGACAAAGTTGCGAGCGTGGATACTGATCTAACTGCGGAGGATATTGTCGCTTTTAAAAACCGATTTGCTACGTCACTTCTAGCCAGTGAAAGTGCGCTTCTAAGGTCGCTTCCTTTGGATCAAATATGGAGTTATGGTCCGAGACGAGTGGGCCCTAACGTGTTGGTGAACAACATTCCGAACTACAATTCACCAGAGTGGACATCGTCAATGACCGCTGCGATATGTATCCAGAACTCAGAGAGGGTACGAATGATCAACATGTTGAGGAATAGCATTGTGACGGGCTTTCAAATGGCTTCATCAGCTGGGCCACTGTGCGACGAGCCGGTGTGGGGATTAGCTTTCGTCATTGAAGACATTGTAATTCACAAGACCGGTATTGACGAAAGTAAGTCTGAGGATGTTATGGCGGAGGTGAGCAAGTACGGGCCGCTTAGTGGGCAAGTGATATCTGTGATGCGAACGACGTGCCTCATGGCATTTGTGAAGCAGCCCGTTCGCTTAGTCCAGGCTATTTATGAGTGCACCGTTCAGTGTCAAGCTGAGCAGCTTGGCAAGCTGTACAATGTAATCTCGAAAAGGCGCGGTGAAATCTACTCAGAAGAGCTGTCCGATGGTACGGCGCTTTTCACGGTGAAGGCCCATTTACCTGTTGTTGAAAGCTTTGGGTTTGCTACAGACCTCATGGTTCAGACATCCGGCGCGGCGAGCAATCCACAGCTCATCTTTTCGCATTGGAGCATCATAGATATGGATCCATTTTTTCAGCCACAAACTGAAGAAGAGCGCGAAGATTATGGAGAGTGGGTATATGATCGCAACTATGTCAGGAAGTACATTGAAGTAGTTCGCAAGCGAAAGGGTCTGTCCCGCGATGAAAAGATTGTCGTTCATGCTGAAAAGCAACGCACGCTGAAACGGTAGAGGATGCGCGTGATGCTGCGATTTATTTTGGATGCGTGTGTCGACTAAACACAAATGCTGAGAAGATTTTACGATCGATGTTGTGTGATTCGTATTTTGCGAAAGTGCATCGAGCTAACAAGCTTAATATCTCGATGTCGCGTGCTGCACGACGGTCGACGGATAGGGCTTTTTTGCAAAAAGTACATACTTACCTTGCTAAAACTTGCAGCGCACTATTCTTCTGGTTCAACTACCATATGTCTTGCAAATAGGTCATACGTCATTGAGTGGTTTGTGCGAATAAGTCAACAACAAAAGATTACGCCCTTGGCATCTTGCAATTGTGCCGTGTTTATGAGCAGAGTTTGACGTTATTCTGGTGCCACCCACTAAAGAATGTTGCGTGATATATAAAATACTAGCCAAATAATCAAATCATAAAAATGCACCATATATGCATACTGTACGACTTGATACACACTCGCGTGGACCAGTCACGTACATCCACGCATCTCTTCTATTTCCTCTGACAACTTATCAGCTGATGCCTTATCATCGATTTTCCGTCCACAGCCACTTAAATGAGAAGGGTGTATTGGTGGGTTGACGCTTCAAGCGTGATCTCATAATGTTGTAACGATATTGATTAACCATGAAGTTTCGGCGCTTTTAAGTCTGTCATTCGGACTTTAAGGTTTTCATCGTACTACTCTGTAGCTGTCGCCGCATTGGTATCGTGTGAGGTAAATGGATAAGAAATCTCCGTCTTTATAAGGGCTCATTCACCATACGATGTAAGATGGTTGGGGCACGAAATCGAGGCAGCACGAGACGGAGAATCGGCAAGCAACATCAATCGGAGACACGATTGTTGAAAGGTAACGGATATACTTGGTGCAGTTGTAGGTGGTCACGCGGATGCTTGCGAACGTAAAGTATGTATTGCACGCTGACAAATTACGCCACGTTCAGGGAGCACTATGGTTGCCTCAAAGAAAGACTGCTGATGGCATAAAGAATGTTGATTATCATTTCAGGTATGCAACATGGATGCTGTAAAGATAGACGCAATATCACTATCTACAGCGAAGGACGTAGTGCACACAAGCGTAGTAGCTCGACCATCTGTGTCCACGTGAGCATGCACCATCGTATTTCCTCCACTTCAGTCAGCTGCAAAATCAACACGGCCGCTCTACCAGCAAATATATAGATAATGATGATCGCGTCGTAGACTTCATGCATCATGCATCATGTGGCAAAGGTGCTTGTGTTTATAGCTTGCATTGTAGGACTAAGTAATTTGTGCAGACAAAAGACTAATCCGGCTCCCCATAATTTCCGACGAATGTTCTTTTTGTACTTTAATGAATACACCTTCTTAAATTTGATTGAATACATTGGTATGTGGTCTCGCGCATGTGTAAGGTCGGTCGTTTTCACAGCATGGTGCATTTTTTACTTTTTCAATTATCTGGTGGTTTCTTTGTCGTCTTTTAATGCACAAATTACATTCTCATCTTAAAGAATACGGTGCGCACCACCTATAACCTGTCACTTTTTTTGGCAGCCAAATTTGAAAAAGAATTAAAATTCTCGCCGTTTCCACATCCGAAGTCGCCTTTTTTAACGCCCCCGTCGTATTGCGCACACAATAGGCACGTCTTTTGTACATTCCAAATACTAAATAACGTACTAATCAGTCAACAATCACCACCATGCTGCGCTTCAACAATAGCTACGACACTTGCTGGTTATGACGGTTATTGCTGCGGTCACAGTGTCATTCAAAACAACGCGATTTGAAGAGCCATAAGGGCTTTCAAAAGAAATATTAATGCGGCCGGCCACCTCATCATTTTACCCTTAGTTCCATTGCGATCTAGCCTTTATCATGATTGTTCTTGGGAGAATCAAAATGACGTGCTCGGAAAAATTGCAACTGTACGTTCAAAGGCCTCGAGCAGGTGATTCCAAACTCCCTTACATCCGTCTCTCTCACAACCATCCGCCGCCATGCTCACAATTGATTTCGGTACATGGATGTTTATCGCAAGATTCTGATCAGGAAGGACGTTTATACGTCCGTAAAAAAGTATCGGTCGCACCGTTACGTCCCAAATTTAATTTTCAAGGGATATGAACGTTTTAGCTGCTGCCAAATATCGTGTTTTGCAATAGATTTGAATAATTGCCTGCGTCTTTTGACAGAAAATAGAGTACATAAACAGGCAGTAAAATGTCGTATAGGGTGACAACAGCTATTTTTGCACTTTAAGACTAAGAAAATGGTTCTTTTACGTTAATTCGTCTACTTTATATGGGGCTGCATGGGCAAATGTTTGTTAAAATCGAGAACAATAAGTACGCGTGGGTTTTTGGGGGTGCCCTAACGTGGCTCGCCGCGAGCCATTAATCACAAAATTTCATAATTTTGGACCCTATAACTTCGTGGAAAATTGTCAAATCAAAATCCGAGACTACAGAAAGAAAGCGAGTACCGTACTCAAGCCATCTATGTTAGTAAAACTGTGTTTTAAGAAGGATGGGGTGAGGAGTAGCTGAGTGACAAAGACCAAAAATGTTACAGGTTATAGACGGGGCACACTATAGGTCTTATGTTTTCTTTTCAAAATTTTGTTTTGCCTCCACTCGCATAGAGAAATCATGTGGTTTGGTAACCGTAAAAATTATATTTGTCAAGGCTTGTCGGAAATATATGGCGACAAGTTTGATGTCATTGCATCAATGATGTAAAAAGTCTCAAAAGAGGGGAAGACAGCGCAAATGCGAAATTTCATGATGCCCTCGTCACTCCGCAAACCTGCAGCAATGTCATTGTCGTGCTTACGACAGATCTAATATTAATCATCTACAAAACAGGCTTTGTCGAGGAACTGGTCGCTGACTTCCGACAATTACATTTTTGCGTTTTTTGCACGCTCGATCAGCAAGAGCAATTTCACAACTTGCCCAACCGATACAGCGCTTTTATCTATTTAATGACCTCCTGCTCCAGCAAATGTGCAGGCTTCGTTGCGAGCTGCTCACTCGTCGTTACGACGTGTTATTGAATGTTTGGCAACGCATGCGCGTGGTATAGCAGGCTGAGCAGCATTTCGTTACATTCTTGCAACCTTATAGGCGCCCTGCGGTCACGACTTCGTGGTATGGCTTTGACTGCTACCATGAGCGCACAATAACAAAAGCTGGATACAAATGACAGAGCTTTGAGATGACTTCATCATGTCGACTTTGCCAGAGTCCCACCAGTTGTAGGTCGCAACTTTGGTGTAGCCTGCACAAAGAGTAGCTCACACTCCCACGGGATGCATTCAGTCGGGCAACAACTTCCATATACAGCGGCGTGGTCTCTTTAAGTTGTATACTTTAGGATCTAAACCGCGCTATTTTTCCTCTGATGCTCTAAATATTTGTTTTTATATATACAAACGCTACTCCTTTTTGTTGGTCGATGATTGCCCTAGATTTGGAGGAGCGATACGCCCACAGAGTTTTGTCAAGACGAGTTCTGGTGTCGCAAGCCATCATTTTTCGCTGTTCGTCTGTTCGCTATCGACAGAGTCTATTTTTCATCCTACTATAATCGCGACGGATCCTGCCGAGTTAGGACGCTTCTTTTGGCCAGCATGGCTTGCAGTGGGTCGTTCTAAAGCACTAGACGCGCTGCACAATTGAGTCGACACAAGTATGCTTAGTCTGTGAATGACGTGGCAAGACAGGCATATCAGTATCAGCAAGAATCGACTCAGGCGCTCGCAGCGATAAACTAGTTGATCCGCGCTTGTACTCGCAGCCTGACATCAGACCAACTTCTGTGCCATATGGACTCACTTATGAATGTTTACTGCGTATGTCACGAACGGAATTCGACAGAAATGTCTATGGCCAGCGTGATACCACTTGTCTTGCATGGCTATGTAGCTGTGATGGCTGGTCCGTTGCAAAAGAAGGTAGAAAAGTTGAGCTACTGACATTACTGCGCTTATTCGCTCAAATTATAGTGGGAGGAGCTGTACATAGGCAGGTACTGCACCCTGCTTCCCCCCTTTAACTTTTTGCCCCAACAAACCTCCCTCGCCCAATCCATTTGTTCTCCATCACGCCGACTGGTCTGGACGCCGTCTGGTCTAGTCGCCGTCTGGCGATGAGCAGTCTTTTTTTGCAACGCAGCACGGCGTATCGCGTTCGGGTGATCGACCATTTTGTGCTTCGCCCACTTCTCGTTTTGCGTGCCACTATCAGGCACCTTGCTGGCAGCTTTGAGCCCAGACGATGAGGGTTGTCTATCTCTTTGCACACATCGTGTGTAGCGCGCTGCCTGCCATCGCTGATACCGCCTCGGGGCTAGAAGTACCTCAAGTTACGGCTCCTAATGCTCTCAAGTCGGAGTACGTGACGGTCGGCAGACTTTTCAGGGCGCAGACACTCGGCCGCGATGACCTTGAAGATCGAACGTTTCCTGTGATTATCGAGGACTTGAGAGTCATGCTTCAATTTGTCAAGCTGATGCCTAAGCTTGCGATAGCTGCCATCGATCGTGGGCCTATCGAATTTCGTAGAAATGCTTATCACAGTGCATTGCGCGACACTATGGTCGTGATGCTCACTACGCTCAAAAATCGTCTTCCGCTAAAGCCAGATCATGAATTCTACGTTGGTGTTATTGGCGAGTATTCCAGCCGGCTAAGCGAGTTTCTGACGGCAATATCGCTGTCTCTGGTTGAGCAAGCAAAGGTACCTGTTTCTGAGGTAGCGAAAGACCTTAAGCAGGCGCAGTTGAAGGAGTGGTTGGAGGCAAACAAAAATCCTACGGACGTCAGCGAAAGTTTTACCAGCTCTCCATTTTATAGTGATGATATTTTTGCTGACCTCAAGGAAGAGATTGTAGGCGTCTACAAGAAGCTTTACGACGAGCAACACAAGCGACTTGAGGAAGCTTTACAAGGCGCAAATTAATTCGGCATTGTCGCAATAGACGTTTGTCTCTCTACTTTCAGTGTTGTCCCTACATGGAAACGCTTTACCAAACGTCTCTCTCGTCTCCCTGCTATATGTTGAAGTCAACGTGATTCCGCAGGGTGTAATGCTCCTCGTCGATTGGCTCCCTTACAGGCTGCAATATATATGCTTGTATATGTTCAAGCATGAAGGTAGACCACGCCAACATATCGCCTCACTCGCATCCCATGAAAAGCTTGTGGTCGATTCAACTGCGCGTATCTACCGTAATGGAGGCAGACAGAAGTCACCATGTGCAGGCTGTAAAATGCCAGAGCCGCATCGCGTAGGTGCGAGTTTGAGTGTGATGCTTCCACTGTTGCTTAATGTCAGTATGGTTGCAAGTCATTCTTAAATGGACAAGTCATCCGTCTAATAAGGGTTTGTACACGATCGATTACATTATCTACCGCAAAAGTTTATTCCGATTACGTTGAACAGTGGCCTGCAAGCTTTGAAAATGTCCTGCGTCTTGTGCGCACAGACCAAAATTCAACGAAAGGGCCAATATCAACAACGTCATCATCCTCGATAACCAGAGCTCGTAACAAGAACACAGGGCTGAACGTCGTTCTATTATGCCGATCCGAAATCACACTTAGCTTCTACTGTACTCTCCTCGCAGTGCATGGGTTGCATGTCTCGGTTGTGTATCACGACATGCAGCAAGCCGCATGATACGGGGACGAGATACGGCCTTACACACGGAAAGTGTGGGTCTTGAGGCGACGCCGTTGTTTGCGCAATACCTTGACGTCAGGTAAACACACAATAATGATGCTGAGTTTCAACTGACGTCATTGATGCAGCTGAGCAGAGTGCAATCATGGGATATGGTCTTGTACCGAGCTCGCAAGCGGATAATTAGGATGCGAGGTTTTTAACGGCAGACGATCGGTGCAGGAACAAAAAGGGGTCACAGTCAAACGATTGCACGCGCCGGCTGTAGGCCGCGCATACAAAAAAGGTGCAACCAAGAAGCACGAAGGATAGGTGCGACAAAATATACTGATATGGCCCAGTAACAATCTACCGCCACGAACTTAACATTTGGCATTTGCTGAGTGTAACGGGGTGAACCCTTTACATAAAAATTGATACGAATGTATTAATTTTTTAATATTATCTATTTCCATCATATTCAATCAACATTACACGAGAAGAGGTAATGTTAGCAGAATATTATTCCCGAGAGTAATATTCTCGATGCTCCACTTCATTGGTTGATGTCGACGCTACATCAACCAAAATAACCACCAATCGCTGCTAGACGCGCGCAATAGGTGGTTCGCAAGAAACCCACATAGGAGATGGCAGTTTAATATTGTTAGATTAAGACAAAGATGGTTTATTAAAGAAACGTGACCATATTAAATACAGTTCTGCTTTTCCCTCAGACAGAGCTTCGGTTTCTGTTTTCTTCGGTTGCAATTCCTCGCCACGTGCACGTGACGTCGGGAGCACGCAGTCTTGCATTCAGTCAATACAAGTTCTTACCAGTCATCTGATAAGATCGTGCCCCGTTAGACTGGGGAGAAGAGGATGAACATGCCGCAGAGCGGCCCATTGTTAATACAGTTAATGGAAAGTGGAAGACGAACTTGTGATCTGCAATGAAATGTATTAAACCGGAAGGTTTTTGTATTGGATGTAGTTACCATGCGCTTTACTCTCCTGCCCATATGAATTCGTGGACGCATTTGCCAATATTTAAACTGGCATCATATTTGTATGATTACATCGTTAATTGTAACTAGTATCATCCGAGCGAAAAAATATATATTTAAACGCTTATGTGACCGCTTTATTTTTTCTTATCGTCACATCGCGAGCATCACGGGCTGCTATCGCAAGATATAGAATGCGATCGGTTCGTTCAGGGCACAGGTATTACATACAAGATACGCGGTCGTCTGAAGACGTGGGCGAAGCTACACGAGGTGCGTTAACATGAAATCCCGGTCTATGCTATCATCAACACATTAGATCAGCAATTAATATATCAATGCTGAAAACATTTACCTATATTCCCTTGAT